TGTGCAACCTGCTATGGTGGTAACCTCATCACTGCGGCACCCTGCTGATGTATAAAAATAAAAGTGAGTTTTGTTTTGAAACGGCTTTGAGTGAACACTGTCATATTGGCCATTTTGCATTTAGTGTCAACCCCGGGGAATAGCGCACTTAAACATTTATGTCTGAATCATTTTAAGATCTTTTTTTTTTATTGAAATGTTACGTAGTGGGATAAGTCCATTTTCAGAATTATCTTCTTCTTCTTCTAAATATTAAGGGCCCACGATCAATTTATTGATCATTTTGGCTCCTATGCATGTAGAGGGGATTTGCAATGTTTCTGTGCCTGGCGTTGATGAGGACATTTCACTGATTGCAAGTGCCACTTTGTGAGGGAATCATGCCCTGGGGGGTTTGAAGGCTTGAGGCAATAGACGCAAATGAGTCTAGTATCTGTTTGTTTTGAAGAATAAATAATTGAACTCCAAATCTGAAGGGTAGGAAATTGTTCTTAGAGTTTCGGTCTTGGAAGAACCTTTGATGCCGTTGTCAAGCACTGCGGCAATTGATTAAGGAAATCTGTCTTGCTTTACTTGTATAAAATAAATATAATCCAATTTTCTGAAAGTGTTACTTTGAGAGTGTTGTAAACAATACTGTAGTCAAAACTGAGCGATGTAGAAGAAAGTAACTATGCCTAATGACGTATTCAATCTATTATTGAGTTAAGTAATATTTTTTAAAAAAAAACAGTTTTAAGAAAGTTTTAACTACACAATGCTACATACTACTACATACTACTACATACTTCTACTTACTACTACATACAAACCTTTTATATTTAATTGTGTTATCTTACTCACTGTCCTGAATGATTTTTTTTACAATTTAGTTTATTGGGGGGGGGAGGGCGCTGGCGGTTACTTTATGGTGCCAAAAGAGGGATGGTCGAAGAAAGTGTCAGAACCACTCTTGTGGATGGTAAAGTGAACCTTGAAAAATTTTAAAAATTTCTCGCACGACATTCACATATGCCGAATGTTACGTCTTTTAGTCTTCCCATGCCAATTGCTGCTATCTCGTAGTTTTAATTTGTGCTTTACACTTTTGACATCACACATGTCTTCGAACTCATCTCTCCCCGGCTCCGTCATTCTTTTATGTTGATTTTCATGATTAATCAGAGTTAATTTATGTAAGCACATCAGTGTAGTATGGCTTTTACCCCGGGAACAAAAGCACCATTGCGTGGGACTGCGTGGGCTGAGAAAGGTCAAGCAGGTCATCTGTCGTTAAATGGTAGCATCTACAGGGCTACCAGCTATGGACAATCTGCAGTTGGAAATGAAAGGCAAACACAGGGTAGGGATCACGATTACATGTTGCCGTTAATGGATATGAGAATTTGGGGGGGGGGGGCGGTGGAAACCCCTTGCCGATAATTCTATTTACACAGCATTGAAGAAGCTGTCCCTAGACAACCGTTTCGTCCCAGCTGCTTCTTAAATTAGCTGTGTGGTAGAAACCTTCTGTAGGAAATACCTATTAGAGGGCCTCTCAAGCTAACCCGGGATTAGAAAGGGGGGGGGGAGATTTTAGGACGTAAATATACCATCACGACCCCCTGGAAAAGTCGGTCGTTGGCGCTGTTCAAGCAGTGTCCGGCAGACCAGATGTCCTTGGGCTAGGGCTTCCCCCACTGGTGAACCCGACAGAGCGGATGCGGCTTTGGGCTGTCCTTGCAAAGGGAGAATCAATAGTGCACCAGAGAGAACCTTTCTCACCAAAACTGAAGAGGAGGAGATAGTGAAATTTATTAAAGACTCTGCAGACAGAGGGTTCGGAAAATCAAAACAAGAGCTCTTTACAATTATACAGCAAATGTTAAATTTCCGTAACCGGAATTCCAAATTTCCAAATAATATGCCGACAGAGAAGTGGTATCGAAATTTTAAAATGAGATATCCACAAATAGTCCTACGCACAGCTCAAAAACTTGGGAAACAACGGGCTGCTGTAACAAAGGAAGCCCTCATCAAATGGTTTGATCAATTAACTGCAACAGTCAAAGACATAGATGCCTCGATATTCCTTGAGCCCAATCGAATTTTTAACTGCGACGAATCAGGGTTCAGCCTTGATTCTGGGACCGGAAAGGTTTTAACGTTCATGGGAACGAAATTTGTTTACCAGCTAGGTAGTGAGCAAAAAACAATGATCACTGCACTTGTTTGCTGCAATGCCATAGGGGACTATGTGTGGCCAATGCTTATATACCCTGGTACTCAATTCCGTGGCTTTAAGCCAAATGAAGTATTTGAGGAGTGCTTCATTACAAAATCAACAAATGGATGGACCAATCAGACCATATTTGCTGATTGGCTGGAGCAGGTTTTTCTTCCCCAAACAGCACAGCTAAAAAAGCCGATTCTTCTTTTAGTTGATGGCCACATAAGTCACCAGTCAATCCAGGCTGCCACTCTGTGCAAAGAGAACAACATTATTCTCTATGCCCTGCCTGCCCATTCATCTCACATCATGCAGCCCTTAGATGTGGGCATTTTCAAAACAATGAAGGCAGAATGGCGGAAGGCTGTGAAAAAACAAAATGAAGCTGAGATTATAACGAAACGTACATTTGCAAATGTATTTAAAGAAGCTTACCAGGCAACAGTGCAGAAAAGTCTTGCGCAACAAGCATTTAAAATCAGTGGGTTATACCCATTAGATCCAACAAACATTAACTGGCAGAAAGTACTGCCCAGCATGTCCATGGAAGTGGGAAATCAGACACATACTGTGCCTGACGGGGCAGCCACACCCCAACATCAGCCTGCAGCCGGACAAGACACACCAGCTTTGCTATCTCTCTCAGATGCCACTATCACAATTATGCCCTCTCCACAAAACCCATCTAGTTCTACACCAGCCCCACATTTACGAGCCTCTCTGTCAGACGACCATATACCAGCCCCTGTACCAGTGCCTTCTAGTTCATCAGAAGCAGAACCCCCATGTATTGCTGGCACAAGCACCTGCCCCGATGCTTCATCTGACATTGCTTCAAATTTAAAAAAATTTGCAATGATTTGTGCACAGATTGGAGAGTCAGAGTTAAGGCTATATTATGAAAGGCTGGAAGAGGGTTATGACTGTGATGACCCATTGTACAGATTATGGAAGCTTTATCATGGGAATATTCTATTGCACCATTCCAAATCAAGCAGACAAAATCCTCCACCTAATGTTGCAAAGGATCCACTGTCATTGCCTGTTCTGAAACAGAGCTCCATGAGAAGAAGAACACAACAAAAGCTCCCACCACTGATCAGTGGAAAAGAATTCATTGACCATCTGATAAACAAAGACCGGGCAGAAAAAGAAGAAGAAGAAAGAAAGGCCATAAGAAAAATAGACCTAGAAAAAAAGAAACAAGAGAAATTAAAGGCTATAGAAGAGAAAGCAAAAAGAAAGGAAGAGAAAATAAAATTACGAGAAGAACAAAAAAGACAGAGGGAGGAAGAAAACCAAAGGCGGAAAGAAGACAGAAAGAGGAAACTGGAAGAGAAAAGACAGCTGAAAGACAATTCAAAAGGGAAAGGGCCGAAGAAGAGAAAGACAAACAAAATGGATGATTCTGAAACAGATACAAGCATTGATGAGTCTCAAATGATTTTCGATGACGAGTCGGAAGATGATTTTGAGGATTTAGATCTAGATTTAGACTAGACTAGTCTAGACTAGAGTCTATTTCAGAATGCAATTTTGTTTATTAGTTAGAATTAAATAAAAATCAACCATGAATGTCATGAAAAAATGCATGAGTTATTTGTTTTAATGTTGTAGTCTAGTCTATATGTGTCACATTTATGTATGTTTTTATGTGTGTAACTGTGTGAGTGTATTGGGAGATCCTTAGCTTTAAATCACAACTGGTTTCAGTGAGGGCTTAGCTTTAAATCACAACTGGTTTCAGTGAGGGCACCTTAGTGGTTGCACTGTGGTCAGGTGGTTGCACTTAGGGCAAATCATTGGTTGCAGGGCGGGCAGGTGGTTGCTTAAGGGGCTACTCAGACGTAAGCATTTTTCCCTATTATTATGCTAGTTATCTGCTAGAACATCTCCTAAACACTGCCAAGTCAGTGATTTCACTTGGTGCCCTCTAAGCAACCAATAATTTTTTTTTTTCTCCAATCATTAAAAAGTTGTGAGGAAGAGTTGACTCGTGGTTGCATTGGGGCAAGTTACTCTATATAAACTTATATCAGTTACAGTTTTTAACATATTCTTCTTTTATGCCTAAATATAACAAAATGATGATTTAGGATGTCTTAGAATTTATATATAAAAATTTAAAGCAATAATAAAACCAAGAGAACAAACATCCATGAATGATGTTCTGCAGCGTTACCTTGTTACGTCATTGATAAGTCATTTGTGTCATGGACTTTGTTAAATGCCCCTGTTCTATATTTTTTTAATGAAAACCAAACGATAAATTGCTTTATTTATTTATAATTATTTTGTTAAAATCTTTAGGGGGATTTTCTAATTCCCCTCTAAACAAGATTTTTTTCGCCGTCGAGTGTATTGACGCCCCATCTTTGTGCCTGGTGTGGCTGTCCCCCCCCCCCACCTCAACGTGCTCCTTAGCACGTCACGATTAAATAACTTATGATCCACCAATGCAAAAAAATAGTATGGTAAAACTTTGGCTTTCCCCTTCGAGATTTGAAATTTAATCCAGACAGTGGAAAGAAGTGACCTAGATCAACATGACCCCTGTCTTAATCTTGACCTCATTCTCGTTTCTGGCTACAACAACAACGACACGTTCATGAAAACAAAAGTAGAGTAATCGATTATTTGTTTTAATGTACTTATATAGACGAGTACTTACTTGGCTCTCAACCTAAGACATATACATATAAGAGTATCGAATAAATAGTTAATTTGCAGCAGTATCTTGTTAAAATTAAACAAGTGGTTATGGATGTTGACGCATATTTATTTAAGAAATGTTGATACACCCTGCTTTCCTTAGTTCACATTAAGTCTGCACGTTACTTCACAATAACACTGCACGCTAAATACGATCAGGACATAGATCGGATCACTCTTAGTCTTAGTTACTGGATACTTGTTGTAAGTTAAAGTTTTTATAACACTAAAAATAAAAAAAATATTTTAAACGATAGCACAGAAAATTATCTAATAAATAATCATTTTTGATAATATAATTCATTTTTTAAATGATGTACTTTCAACGTTCAACAATGAATTCCAAGTCAATGTTCTTTTTTTTTTAAAATGCATGCCATCATTCTAAAACATCTCGCTGCCATTGTTATCAAAGTATCAGATTAAATTGAATGATTTATGATAAACCTAACAGTAAAACCATCTTTTCATCTTAGCCCCAATGTCCACTCTTAAAATGCTGACAGTTCATGTAGTCTTGTTACTACTGTATATCTCCGCCCGTACAAACGCGGTATACGTGAACGAGTTTGACCAGCAAGCTTTGTTTCACTGCCAGACTGGTGAGTACATCGAGGAGATCGAAAGTGAGCACAATAACAACCACGAAGACAGACGCTGGAGTTTTCAATGTGGTGGTGACGGGGCGACGTCTGCTTGCACCTGGAGCTGTGAGTTGCTTTTATTATTTTCATAACTGGAATTTAAAAAAAAAAAATACTCACTGTTTTATGTTCAAGACATTGACAAGGATCTGCAGACTTTCTCTGAGAAAACAGGTATAGAGATTATCAGGTTTAACCAATTTACAAATGTCAATACAATGCAAGATAACTATATAACAGCACAAGCGTTTATAAAAATAAAAAAAACGCAAATTAATGCATTCATTGAATGGATTGTCACACATACCAACGATTTATGCTTGAAAGAAAATGCTGAAATTAAATAAAGCCTAATGACTTATAACAAACGACTACACATTTAATTATAATTTGATTGGATACACCTTTCAATGATTACCGTCAAAACACACACGCAAAGACACATAAAATCATAGACACACACACATATCCAAATATAGTCAACGCTAGGTACTGAATCTGTTGTTGTTGTCCACTTCAGCTTACGTGAACTCATGGAGGGAGATGGTGGCCTACATATGTCCGGGTGACACTGTGGTCACTGGTATTGACAGTTACCATGACAACGGTTCAGAAGATAGACGATTCAAGTTTAGATGTTGCGGCATTGCAAGTTAGTGTCTGTTAATAAAACTCTCTAAACTTTAATTAAGATAGAAACAAATAACAAACAAAAAATAGTGTTCACTGTTTATGTTGATGAGATCAAATCAGTTATAAAGACTTTGTCGTTAGAGATTTAAACGTAACTTGGGATCGCTTTAAGTGGAATGTGTCAAAGAATAAAATGTCATATAATATAATGTCATACAACAGAATGAGCATGCCATAGAATAGAATTTAATAGAACAGAATGTCATAGAATAGAATGTCTCAGTATTTTCCATTTTTTCAACAGTTGACTTCTTCTCTTCTGTTTATTATTATTAGGTAGTTTAAATAGCGAAGTGCCACAGCGTAGGGCTAGGCTCACCGCCCTTCACATAAAAATAGCAATTACAGAAACGTATACATTTAAAAACAACAATTGGTAAAAAGCTTGACCTCACCCAGCCAAGTACTAGCTACCTCTGTCTGGTCATGGACAGCACCCACCCAAGTACTATCTACCCCTTTCTAGCCATGGACAGAACCCGCCCAAGTACTATCTACCCCTTTCTAGCCATGGACAGCACCCACCCAAGTACTATCTACCCCTTTCTAGCCATGGACAGCACCCAGCAGAATCGAGCGTTGTTTATCAGTTAGAGGGGGGTGACAATGAGCCGGGATAGTACTGTTTGAAGTGATGAGTCTTGAGGGCAGTTTTGAAGGCTGTGATGGTCGTTATATGCGGGTGTGTAATGGGAGAGAATTCCATTGTTTTGGGGCACGGAAAGATAAAGATCGTTTACCATATGTTTTAGTGCGTGTACTGGGAACAGAAAGAATACGTGTGTCTGCGGAGAAACGAAGCTTTCGAAGGGGTGAATAAACAGTAAGAAGTTCAGTAAGATAGGAAGCGCAGAGAACAGACAACCTGTAATCAATGTGTGCCTGTACAGGGAGACAATGAAGTTAGTGGAGTGACTTGATCAAGTTTCTTTGCCTTTGGAACTAACTTAGCAGCTGCGTTTTTTAACTTTCTGCAGTTTTTCTAGGAAATGTTTTGGTAAACCTGACAGAAGAGAGATACAAGAGTCAAGACGAGAGAGAACAAGAGAACAGACTAGTGTTTTTGGTGCGCTAACTGTGAGGTAGTCGCCGATTGATCTGATCTGACGGATAGCGGTGTACGCAGAGCGACAAATATTAGAAATATGATTAGTGAGAGACATGTTGTCCGAAAGAATGCAACCCAGATCCCTAGCAGGGTGCACTCTATATCGGAGCTACCTACTTGAAACGAGATTGGGGGGGGGGGGGAGAGCTTTTCCCCCCTATCTTTATCTATCTATATATCGCTTTTTCTTTCTCCCATCTCTTTCCTTTTAAAATATTAAATATAAAAATAACTTATCCGACGAGACAGACGAGACAGAGGATGAGGAGTACCTACTGCTGTCCATGACAGCATGGACTGACACGCTGTTCCAGAACTAGATGTTGATGACTGCGAACTCCTGTGGGTAAAGATAAGGCTAAAGCTAAAGGGTAGACGCAAACTTTACCTTTATGCCTATTACAGACACAACACAGCAGATGAACCAAGCTTGAGCAGGCTTGTTGTGTCACTTCAGAGAGCAATTCAGTCGAAGAACGTTTTTCTTCTTAAAGAAGCAGAGTTCAGACTAGCGCGCTAAAAAAGAACCAGGCTGGGCGAGAAATCCCCATTGATGCCAAGGCAGACTTGGACATCCCGAGAAGTGCAACGACAGAGTTGAGCTCTAACTGCATGAGATTCAGGGTAATGCGACAACAAAAGAAGTGTGGATAAAGATCAAGACAACAATCACTGATGCAGTGAAGAAATACATACCACACAAGACAACCAATGTGCTTGTGCTGGACTTTTCAAAGGCATTTGACCGTTTCAATCATAGTTTGCTATTACACAAACTTCAGAGATATTGCATCCAATGCACTACCGAAACATGGATCTCTAGCTTCCTCAGCGACCGATGCCAGGCAGTAGTGGTAGATGGCACAACCTCCTCCTTTGTCAGTGTTGACAGGAGCCCCTGTTCGTTCTTAGCTTATATCAATGATCTGCCCGAGAAGCTGACCGTTCAAGCAAGACCATTCTTAGACAACACGGTGTCAACAGGTCTGACCAAGACCAGCTACAAAAGGACCTCCAGCGGTTAGCAGAGTAGGAGATGAGCTGGGACATGGAATTTCATCCCGTAAAGTGCAAGACCCTGTCAGTCTCCAGAAGCAAATCCCCTGTACACGACCCTTACGAATGGCATGTCCATATTGTTGAGCCATTTTCCTCCATTAGGTACATATGTGCTACCATTCAAAGAGAGGTCCGCTGGGACGAGCACAGTGACAACGTGTGCAACCGAGCTAACAAGACCCTGGGGTTCCTAAGGCGAAATCTGAAGATCGGCAACTCAAGCGTGAAAGAAAAAGGCTATAAAGCCTGCGTCCGGCCGCTTTTAGAGTACGCATCTTCAGTCTGGGACTCTTTCCCCAGAACATCATCGACAGGTTGAAGGCGGTCCAGCGACGGGCAGCACGCTTTGTCCTGAACCGTTACAGAAATCTCTCAAGCGTTGGCAATATGCTGGAAACACTAGGCTGGTCACCATTGGAAGAACGATGACGACTATCCAGGCTCTTTATGTTGCACAAGATCAAAAATCGGCGGGTCCACTGCTCCAGCATTAAACAGAAACCCGTCCATCTCCCCCACCCCCCCCCCCCCCCCCGACAGAGACGAGGCCACGACAGGCAGTTCCGGCTAACAAAAACAAGAACTCGGTACAGGAGATCCTCATTCCTGCCAAAGACAATAAGGGACTGGAACAAGCTTCCAAAAGAAACAGTTGAAGCGACTATACTTGACACATTTGTGTCTATTGCCTCCTGTCTTCCAAACCCCAGTTCATAATACAACTGCTGAGTAGCTCTTGCAACCAGTGACGTATCCCCTTGAAATCCATGCACAGTAACATCGCGAACTACTCTGAAACATAGGAGCCAGAATGATCAATTCATTGATCGTGGGTCCTCAAAATATAGAAGAAGAAATATAAGTTATTTCCATAATATTAGTGAACACTACGACTATATTTATTGCCATTAAATCAAAGAGCTAAAATACTAAATAGTCTTATATGAAAAATCACAATATAGTGTCAAATGTCAACAACAACAAAAATCAGAACCCACGGCTCTCTCTCTCTCTCTATCTCTCTCTCTCTATCTCTCTCTCTCTATCTCTCTCTCTCTCTCTCTCTCTCCCGTCATTGAGATACCAAGTCTTGTGAGTTAGCACCTCCCCTCAGATATTTCATCTAATTTTTCTTCAATTGAAAAAAAATAAATTCCGTGGCCTATTTTGATGTAAGGTTTCAACCAACACTTTTATCGGTTACATGTCAATTGTATCTACTTCTCCTACCTGTTGAAATTAACTGATTTACAAGCTGCAAAGTCGGAATTACCAAAGCATACTGAGACAAAATATCGGTATTGAATATGATAATAATCGTTTACAAATTTGAGGTTTTCTGAATGTAAGGAAATTGATTTAAAATACGAGCTCGTTAAAGTACACGAAATATACATCGTCATAATTGTATTTAAAGGAGAGGTCAATAATGATCAGACTTATAACAACGACTAGAAAATAACAAATTCTTGTAAAACTATCCGTATGGACAATTGTTATGATGGCAATTATATTTTTAAACAATGTATAAATATTTTTCAACACTGAACTAATTGATGCATCCTTTTTTGCAGCCAAAAAACCAAAGAATTGTTACATGACGGACTATGCTAATGACTGGGATGGGAAATTACTCTTGATTGTCCCACCTGGCTCTGTGCTAAAAGGAGCGTTTAGTTATTTTCACGATGGACACAAGTAAGTCTTCTATTAAGGGAATACCCAAATAAAATGAGTAAAACAGAATAGGGTTAAACCTGAAAAAAATAAACGCAACAAAACAGCGAACGTGTCGGCAGAAAGCCTTCGTCAGCGAACAAAACAACAGAAAAAACGGTATAAAAATAAAAATAAGAAATAGCACTTAGCTGGTAAGTAGTATCTGTAGGCAGCAATAGAAGTGTGGCAGAAGGAAAATGAGTGAGAGTTTAAATAAGCAGCGGCGAAAAAGAGGGGGGAGAAAAAAGTTCACTATGATAGGTAATACCCAACACGATAGAAAACACGTTTTTTTATGGGACCCTCTCCTTCTGGACATTTTGTTCAACCATTCCCCTAAACCAAAGGTCACCAAACTACGTGGCCTGGATCGGGGCCACATCGTCAGTTCATCAGGAACACCGACAGTGCTTAAATTAGCTTGATAAAACGTTTGGAATACGGTACATTGTGAAACAATTATTAAATTTGGATACTATTATTAGAATACTAGAAGATCTTCACATGTGTGGAGACCTCCTGGCGACCTTGGGCCTTAAAATTACCATTTTCATTGTTAAACTATTGTAACTAGATTTTCTTGTTTATATAATATTGTAATGTTTGCTTGTTGTTTGCGCAAGCCCAAGTCCTTCCCGGGGTCCGGGTAGCTTGGCCTACGCCCTTACGTCACCATGGTTTCCAAGGCAACACGCACAAATACGCATCTTTCCCGCTCCCAGATAGTTCCAACTGTCAGCACAGGTTCAAATCTCCAGAAATATTTACTTCTTTTCTTTCTCCTTTCATTCAATTTAAAGGTATATATGATTATGTGGCTCCCGCACGTTATTTTGTCAGTTATCAGGCTCACTGTAAAACAAAAAAAGTTTTGTAGCCCCTGGTCTATATAGAAAATCTCAAAAGGTCATCAGGGTCTCTCGGTATCTTTGTCACTGTATCTCGGTATCTCTGACACTGTGTCTCGGAATCTCTGTCATTGTCTCTATACCTCGGTGATTGTGTCTCGGTAGCTCTGACACTGTATCTCAGTATCTCTGTCATTATGTCTCGATATCTCTCTCACTGTGTCTAGTTATCACTGCCATAGTGTCTTGGCATCTCTGTCCCTGTGTCTCAGCATCTGTGTCATTGTGTCTCAGCATCTGTGTCATTGTGCCTCAGCATCTGTGTCATTGTGTCTCAGCATCTCTGTAATTGTGTCTCGATACCACGGTCATTGTGTCTAGGTATATCTCGGTCATTGTACTCCACAGAAGCCTTTCGTGTACGTAAGCGTAAATCGTGTTTGGAATGTACAGTAAAACAACCGATCAATGATTCATGAATTAAATTGCTCAGCTATTGCCATTGCTATAGGCAGAAACCTAGGGGCAGACGACTCACCGGTCGCCCAAGGCTGAGATGCATTGTGGAGACGGATTTACACTAGTTGGGGGTTCGCGCATGGAGGCGGAAAGCCATAGATCGCTCCAAATGGAAGGGTGTGGTGGAGCAATCCAGGGCACTACATGGGCTGTAGTGCCACTGATGATGATGATGATTACCACTGCTGCCATCCTTTAGGAACTAAATCTACATTTATAAACGAAATCAGTCAAAGAATGTGTACAATGAAACCTTGATAGAAATGTATAGATTTTACAACAAACTTGTGTGAATACTCACACCTTCAATGTTTACGTTTAAGTTTTTCCCATTATTTCTTTTATTAATTTTTTTTTTAATCTCCAGGGACAGAAGATGGAAGTTTTACATTTGCGACTTGTAGTTGCACTACTTGACAGGTGCCATCGATGATCTGATTACATGAGGACAGTATTTGTAAATATTTTGAAATAAATTGATTGTTCCTCCCAAATCACCGTTTTTCCTTCACTAAAGAGATCTGATAGATTCTGTTTTTACAGCACACTGTCACACGTTTGGAATAGACTTTAGCAAAATTCATCTTTTAGAAGTTTACAATTTTCTCATATATTTTAATAACAATAGTTAAGGAACAAACAAAACAAAATTAGATCGATTTTTTTCCAATGACCGTCAAATTAGTACACTTGGAATATCTTCTAGAATCTTAATGCACACTTGGAATGTCTTTAAATCTTAATGTACACTTGGAATGTCTTTAAATCTTAATGTACACTTGGAATGTCTTTAAATCTTAATGCACACATGGAATGTCTTTAAAAATCTTAATGTACGCTTAGAATGTTTTTAACATTTTTTATGAATACTTGGAATGTCTTTAAAAAAATCTTAATGTACACTTGGAATGTATATTGAAAAAAATCTTAATGTACACTTGGAATGTCTTTTAAAATCTTAATGTACGCTTAGAATGTTTTTAACATTTTTTATGTATACTTGGAATGTCTTTAAAAAAATCTTAATGTACACTTGGAAATGTATATTGAAATAAATCTTAATGTACACTTGGAATGTATATTGAAAAAAATCTTAATGTACACTTGGAATGTATATTGAAACAAATCTTAATGTACACTTGGAATGTATATTGAAAAAAATCTTAATGTACACTTGGAATGTATATTGAAAAAAAAATCTTTATGTACACTTGGAATGTCTTTAAATCTTAATGTACACTTGGAATGTCTTTAAATCTTAATGTACACTTGGAATGTCTTTAAATCTTAATGTACTCTTGGAATGTCTATTAAAGTCTTAATCTGTTTAATTACTGTTTTACACTCTCACCCTTCTTTTTTTTTACTCACTGATTGGCAAATGTCTAGTAGCTTGGACGAAACGGCTGCTATTTCCATAGCTGAATTTCGTTGAAACACTATTTAACCTAAGTGCCTCAAAGTTTTTTAATATTATGTCTGATATCAGGGTGTTGCGAACCTTACTAAGACCATGTAGATTTGTTGGGATTATAATGAAACATAACGCATATACACATATATTTTACATACATTGGAAGGTTAGTGTGGCTACTTAATTTTGACCATTATGAGAGAAAGATTCCTATCAAATAAACTGTTATTATCATTTTAAGGAACTGCGTGCAATCAATTTTTTCAGTTGAATTGTATTGGAATATTTATTGAAAGCTTTAATTTAAACGATGAGCTGTTGTAAGGATTCGTTGTTTTAAAAAAGTATAGAATTTTCCTTTTATAGATAACTTATGGATAAAAATTGTAATTTTAAAAAATACCAAAAAAGTAAAGCAGTTTTAAAAAACTCAAGGGGAGGTGTGGGTGAAAAATATAAAATTTTTGTTTCGCTTCTTATTCGATTTTTTTAATCTACACATTTGGAAGTGTAATGGAGGTACAAAACAGGTTAAAACAAAAATTCTATTGGTTGCCTTTGTAACCCCCCAAAAAACCTCCACCATTTAATTTTTTTTGGAGTTTTTTTTTTAAACACTAAGGAGGCTTTTTACAAATATTAAGTTAGAACTATCAGATTTGAAACATAGATAATTTAACCTACAATAAAAATTTGTGTAACAGAAGTTTTTGATGAAATGGCTAGTTTTAAATCAACAGGGTCACAAATTGTGACACCATTTAAAGGGGTGGGTAGATACTTTTTTTACATATTTTCTTTTCTAAGATAGTTATGTTAATTTGAGGTTACTGAAAATATTTAAGTTTGTTCACTAAATATACTGTAAAAATGTGGTGAGGTTTGCATGATAAATAAAAAAGCTATAGGGATATTGGTGATAAAAAATATGGAAAACGAGAAAAATGAAATAACGAAAAAAAAAAACCGACAAAAACAATGAAACTATCAATGAAAATTAAGAAATTTACATTCAGATTTGACTGAAAACTTTTTATTAGTCTATTGTGAACATTATTTATCCTTTTCCAGGTCATTTTGTCTTTTTTCCTGATCACTCAACTTTTCCCTGCGATTGATGTATTTTTATCTATTATTCTGTTTTTGTCGAAAAAATAATAATTTGCTTATTTTGGGGAATTTGAGCTTTATAAAAGTGTGCAAAACCATAAAATTAAGCTATGGGAAAATGAAATGTCAAAGAGTTATTTGGGATTCTCCATGTATGCAGAAAATGCAACTCTTGGTCTTGTAGAAAAAATGTACGTTCTGCGAGTTCTAATGACGGAATGAATATAGACATTTGTAAATTTTCTGATTTCTATCTCACAACTTTTGAATCTCTTGAGCTGCAGCATGTATTTTTACCTAAAAGCGTATTAACATTTTTTGTGTGAGCCAAAAAAACAACAACCAACCCATGAGTGATCACTCCATTGTAAAATCTAATTAGTTTCTGTATCAAATTTTAACGCTAATCATGTTGCAAATCACACTGAATACAATGATACAATGTTAAAACCAAGGAATTTATTGATAGTTGCAGTCTCATTTTTTTTTGGTCCTTTAATAACATATGATGAGCCTTGTGACGTAATCTGTGTTAGTCTTCTCTTGCATCCTCTGCCTGGCGTTACGTTTATTTCGATGCATCGAACATATGTTACGACGAGGAATCTGTAACAATTTGAAGAATACTCAGGGCACGCTTTATCATGTAGAAATTGTCATTTGGGCTAAATGGACTAAGGCACAACAGATCAGTGTAGTTTATCAACAAATATGCTGCATATTGTGTTCTTTTGTGCTCTGAAAACATCCCTTATCTTGTTTATCGTTGCAAAGATTGAGTACCCATTGTCTTGTCGATCGTTGCCAAATTTGAGTACCTCTGTTCTAGCCCATCGTTGCCAAATTTGAGTGCCTCTGTTCTAGCCCATCGTTGCCAAATTTGAGTGCCTCTGGTCTAGCCCATAGTTGCTAATTTTGAGTACCTCTGATCTAGCCCATCGTTGCCAAATTTGAGTACCTCTGTTCTAGCCCATCGTTGCCAAATTTGAGTACCTCTGTTCTAGCCCATCGTTGCCAAATTTGAGTGCCTCTGATCTAGCCCATAGCTGCTAATTTTGAGTACCTCTGTTCTGGCCCATCGTTGCCAAATTTGAGTACCTCTGTTCTAGCCCATCGTTGCCAAATTTGAGTGCCTCTGGTCTAGCCCATAGTTGCTAATTTTGAGTACCTCTGTTCTAGCCCATCGTTGCCAAATTTGAGTACCCCTGGTCCAGCCCATCGTTGTTACCGTTCAAATATATGTAACAATACATTCTTAAAACCATTCCCCACAATGGGTGGACATGGCCACAATGGGAGGACATGGCCACAATGGGAGGACATGGCCACAATGGGAGGACATGGCACAGCGGACAACCTCCAAAACACAACCCCCAACATTGGCTCTATATTCGGCAATAGATCTGACCTGCTTACCACAGTACTTTTATAGCATACCTTGGTCTACATTGCCAAACAGACATAAACATGTGGACAGCTGTGAACATCTGTCGCATAATTATATCACAAAACAATAAAAACAGCTTAAAACGATATCTTAATCAACAGTGTTTTGCCTTGGAATCTTCTAGATGGGAAACAATGTACGCATATTAGATTGACTCAGCAGAGAATCCATATAATACAAACATACAATAACTAGACTGTGATAATCTGATGGCACGAGACCAGGGGTATACAAGTTTACCTCACTTTACCCGAGCTTTTGTAAGGATTTGTGTTTTTTTTAAACTATAGAATATTTTCTTTTTTATAGACAACTTATGGATAAAAATTGTAATGTTAAAAAGAACCAAAAAAGTAAAGCAACTTTAAAAACTTAATAGCCCTTCAAATAGCCATTTAGCGGCCCTTCTAAAAGCCCATCTAATAGCCTCTAATATCCCTTCTAATAGCCCTTCTAATAGCCCTTATAATAGCCCTTCTAATAGCCCTTCCAATAGCCCTTCTAATAGCCCTTCTAATAGCCCTTCTCATAGCCCTTCTAATAGCCATTCTAATAGCCCTTCTCATAGCCCTTCTAATAGCCCTTCTTCTAATAGCCCTTCTAATAGCCCTTCTAATAGCCCTTCTAATAGCCCTTCTAATAGCCCTTCTAATAGCCATTCAAAAGCTCTTTTAATAGCCCTTGTAATAGCCTTTCAATAGCTCTTCTAATAGCCATTCAGCGGCCCTTCCAAAAGCCCTAATATTGCCTCTAAGAGACCTTCTAATAGCCCTTCTAATAGCGCTTCTAATAGCACTTCTAAAAGCCATTCAACAGCCATTCTAATAGCCAATCTGGTAGCCCTTCTAATAGCCCTTCCAATAGCCCTTGTAATACTCTATCCAACAGCCATTCTAAAATTCATTCACATACCCCTTCTCTCGGTCACCATGAAATTACCCTAGACGCGCCAATGAAAAATCCACTGTGGTGAGACTTTGGCTTTCCCCTTCAAGATTTAAAACTTAATCCAAGCCTTGAAAACAGGTGACCTAGATCAACACAACCCCTGTCTTAAACTTGACCTCATCCACGTTTCTGGCTACGACAACAACGACATGTTCATTAAAACAATTGTAGAGTAGTCGATTCTTTATTAAAATGTAATTTCATGGACGAATATTTAATTGGCTCTGAATCTATACATATAAAAATGAATGTTTGTATGTATGTCTGTCTGTATGTCTCATATGCGCTCCTACACCATTCATGCGATTGCAACAAAACTTTACACAGTTGTTTTCCACATAACCGGCCATTTAATTAAGTTATTAAAAACCTTATCAAGTGTTCTGCTCCTAGCCGTTGGCCCTTAAATCGTTTTTTTCCTAATTTGAGCTTTGTAAAATATTTTCCACATGCGCTCCTACGCCATTTATCTGATTCATATAAAACTTTGGGGAAATGTTGCAACCATGTCTATAAACATTTCTAAATTATTACAATTGTTTTAAATTATTCAGTTTTGAGCCAGGGGCCTCACATTCGTTTTTCCTTATATGAGCTATATAAATATATTTTCAAACCGTATGCGCTCCTACACCA